TCCTTCTTTGGCTGGCATGACATGAACTACTGATGCAATAAATATCACCATGTAAAGAAGCAACTCTGCTTGCTTGTCCTCCCTCTTTGGATGTTACAATACAAATGAGTGGGACAAATGACTTAATCCCATCGCCTGAGCTCTCTCAAAAGAAAGTGCAGGGTACATCTATACTGTGAAATGATTTCAGTTTGACACTATGTTAACTGCCATGGCTCAATGCAATGGAATCCTGGGAGTTATAGTTTTACCAAGATTCTATCTTTCTCTATCCAAGAGTGCTGGTGCCTCATTAAACCATGACTGCCAGAATTCCATGGTTTTGAACCACGGCAGTTAAAAGTAGTGTCAAACTGAAATCATTTTACAATGGAGATGCATCCCTTGGCAAACCAGTGAGAGAGAGGGAAAGTGTCTCATGCACAAAAAGGCACATGAGTCCATTTAAAATGCTTGCACTGCCTAAAGAAGGAAGTGAGTGGACAATTTCGCTCAGACAGCTACACATTGCTGCATGTGGTGTTGCAGGGTCCTCTTCTTATGCAGGCCAGACAGACAGTGAGGAAACATGAGGAAGAAGAAGCAGCCCTCACTTTCCCTACTTCTTAAAAATATAAGTGCTGTGCTGGATCACACTGAAGGCATGTCTTGTCAGTTCATTCTGATCCTCAGAGCCCCCGGTGACACAGTGGGTTAAATCCTTGTGCAGGACTGAAGATTGACAGGTCAGAGGTTCGAATCCAGGGAGAGCATGGATGAGCTCCGTCTGTCAGCTTCAGCTCCCCATGCAGGGACATGAGAGAAGCCTCCCACAAGGATGATAAAACATCAAAACACCTGGGCGTCCCCTGGGCAATGTCCTTGCAGATGGCCAATTCTCTCACACCAGAAACAACTTGCAATTTGTCAAGTCGCTCCTGACACATACACACACAAATTCTGATCCTCCAATAGCCAATCAGAGACCCTATAGAAAACCCACAAGGACTTTCCTGCTTCATTTCTCCAGCAACGGATGTCAGAGGCATAAAACCATCAAGACTAGTAGCCATTTGGCACACGCTTCCAACTTTTTCTGTCTCCACAAGCAGACCCAAATAGACACACTAGGAGTACATCAGCACTGTAACATTAATACAGCTTAACATCACTTTAACTTCCATGGCTCATTGTTATGGCATCTTGGCCTTTAGCCCTCTCTGTTAAAGGGTGCTAGTGCCTCATAAATCTACAAATCTCAGGATTCCACAGCATTGAGCTATGGAGTTAATGTGGGGTCAAACTGCTTTCGCCCTATGGTGTACTCCAGAGCCTTCTTTGTGGCTGCTCCTACCTTTTGGAACTCCCTCCACACGGAGGTTAAAACAGCCCCCTCCCTGACATCTTTTTAAAAGCAGCTTTAAACGATCTTCCTGTTCACAAAAGCGTTTAATGAAGATGCTTAGTTTGGAATGACAAGAAGGCTAATTTTCAGTGAGTCATGCTAAGTTTGTCATCTATATTGATGAGTTTCCCACAACAACTGTATTTGATGTTTTTAAATATATATATATGTTTATTTATGCCTTATTTTAAACTTGGTTTTATAGGTTATTGTTATATATATGCTTGATTTGTATTGTTTTTAAAATGTTGTGAGCTGCTTCAGGTCCCATTTTGGGAGAAAAGCAGGATACAAATAAAGATTTAATTATTTCTTATAGGTCACCAGCGACCTATCTCTCAAGGTGTATCTACACTACAGATTTAATGTGGTTTGAAGCTGCTTTAACTGCCCTGAGTTAATGCCATTGAATCCTTGGAGCTCATGTTTTACAAGGTCTTTTGCCTTCTCTGCCGAAGAGCAGAGAGCACTGGTGTTTCATCAGACTACAAATCTGTTTTCCGTAACACTGAGCTATGTTAGTTAAAAGTGGTTTCAATCTACATTAATTATACATTGTAGATGGATCCTCGGTGGCTTTAAAAGGTTAAGCTAACTAGACTTGAGAAGGTCAGGGAGCAATGAGAGTCTTTGAAGTCACAGTTTGCCTGGCCACAAACATCAGCACTGCGTCACCTGCCCCCAGAGACGGAGGAGCAGGAGGAGGAGGAAGTGTGAATGTGAACAGAGCAAACAAGGCTCAGAGAGTGTTCACCCGCTGGGCTGACAAAAAAATCTCCCCTACAAAAAGGCTCCCCACATGATGAAGAAAATAGACTTCAAGGTCTACAACCAAGAGTTTTGTCTATGTGTCTGAAAGAGCGGGAAGTCCCCTTCCCAAGCTAGCCTATTCCCGACTGAAACACATCCTCCTCCCAGCTTCATCTTAAAATATAAGAAACTCTTGGGAAGGGGGACTCATAATACATCTGTTGAATTGATGTAGTTTGACACCACTTTGACTGCAACAAGTGAGTGCTATAACCGTTCCATATTTAACAGATTTTTAAAATTTAGAGTTTAAAAGATTAAATGAAAAGCATTTTAAGGCCAAATCCATATTCTACTTCTTGTCCATTTGTGCAAAGTATTTCAAATATCCTCCTCTCCATATGACTGTGTGCACAGAAAGGTCTTCTGTTGTTTGTTTATATGATTTTATTTTATGTGCCTTACCAAGCTACAGATCCCCAGATTCCATAGCATTGAGCCTTGGCAGCTAAAGTGGTGCTGGAATGCATGACTTTGACAGTGTAGATCAGGCATGGGCAAACTTGGACCCTTTCAGGTGTTTTGGATTTTAACTCCCACAATTCCTAACAGCCTCAGGCCCCTTCCTTAAGCTTAAGTGGCGGGGGGGGGGGGGGGAGTGAGGGACCTGAGGCTGTTAGGAATTGTGGGAGTTTTAAGTCCAAAACACATGGAGGCTCGAAGTTTGCTCATGCCTGCTCTACACTGTCAAAATCATGCATTCCAGGACCACTTTAACTGCCAAGGTTCGATGCTATGGAATCCGGCAATCTGTAGTTTGGTGAGGCACAAGCACTCCTTGAGCAGAGAAGACTTTGTAAAAACTGCAACATGGAATGATCCTATAGGATTGAGCCATGGCAGTGAAAAGTGATGTCAGACCTCATTAATTCAACAGTTTTTATTTATTTACTGTATGTGTATACCGCCTTTCTCAGCCAATGGCGACTCAAGGCAGTTTCCAACAAATCAGTATACATAAAACATAATATAGATAAAAACATTAAACAGTATAAGACATCACAAAAGCAATAAAAACAACATCATCAGCATCTCATTATTCTCAAGCATTGTCCAGTTCCATTGTCAGGTCATTTGATTTCCTATATTAGCTACTTTGTATTTGTAAACGCTTGCTCCAATAGCCACGTTTTAACTTGCCTCCGAAACGTAAAGAGGGAGGGAGCAGATCTGATCTCTCTAGGGAGGGCGTTCCATAGCCAAGGGGCCACCACTGAGAAGGCCCTGTCTCTCGTCCCCGCCAAATGTGCTTGTGACAAAGGCGGGACTGAAAGCAGGGCCTCCCCAGATGATCTTAAAGTCCTCAGTGGTTTGTAAGGGGAGATACGTTCGGACAGGTAAGTTGGGCCATAATCCTATAATACTGAGCCAAAACAACTCCCACAATCCTATAGTATTGAGCTAAGGCAGTAAAAGTGTCAAAATGCACTAATTTTAGTGTAAATATATCCTTTGTTTGACTAAAACTCACACAATCCCCACAGCACTGAAGAACCATGAAAGTTCAAAGGGATGCCAACATTCGACAGTGTATATAAGCCATGGGCAAACTTGGTCCCTTCCAGGCAGGCATGTAGCGGGGGGGGGGGGGGCTTGAGGGGCTTCAGCCCCCCCCCCCCGAAATTCTCATGGTGGTTCGCGAAAAGGCCTTACTGGTGCATTATTTAAACTGTTATGTTTATTCATATCATGATCTGATCACCATACTCAATATATCCCATATGCATGGAGGTATTGGGGTAACGATACAAAAGGTTTGCTAGGGTAGACCCTCTTTCACTCAGACTCAGCCCCCCCCCCCCAATCAAAATCCTAGCTATGGGCCTGGAGAGTGGTGTTTGAAAGGCTGAGCCTGGTACTACAATGAGCTTGGAAATGTTACCCTGCGAGTGATACCTTCCACAATCGGCTAACAACCACAATGGACTCTGGGAGTTGTCCAGAATAAGTTTTCCAAGAACAGATTAAGCATCCTTTATCTGGATGTAATATTAAATATTAAATACTTCAAAAACCAAAATTGTCCACATGGGTAGCTAAAATAGAGACACCTTTACTTTCTGATGGAATCGAAATCCTGGCTACGGGCCTACTTCCAGGTGTTTTGGACTTCAACTCCCACAATTGCTAACTGCCTCAGGCCCTTTCCTTAAGCTTAAGTGGCTGAGGGAGAAAAGGAAGGGGCCTGACGCCTTTAGGAATTGTGGGAGTTCAAGTCCAAAACACCTGGAGGGCCCAAACGTTGCCATGCCTTGCTCTACACTGTCAAAATCATACATTCCGTTCACATTCGACAGTGTAGATGAGGCCTGGGCAAACTTGGGCCCTGCAGATGTTTTGGATTTCAACTCCTGTTGAAAATTATTAGGAATTATGGGAGTTGAAGTCCAAAACACCTGGAGGGCCCAAGTTTGCCCAGGCCTGGTGTAGACGCAGGAATCCTGAAGTGAAGCATCTGTAAGGAGAGCCAGTTTTTAGATGCCTTTCTTATTTCTTTTTCTGAAATGTCGCCTGGAGGGAGRAAGGAAGGAAGGAAGCAGAAGAGAAGCCCTTCCTCCTTCTCATGTATTGGTAGAGGGCTAATGGGCCTTTATATGGGTCAAAAAGAACACTCCCCATTCCCTCCCATGCCTGCCTTCCTTCCTTAGTCGAGACTTAGTGAGGGAGAGGCCCCTCGGGGCCTGCTTCAAGCGGGCCCTTTTCCCCTCCGACTCAGAAGCCCGGGCTCTCCTTAGGCACCTTGCTTTTCTTTCCCTTCTCTTCCCCTCAGAGAGAGAAAGGCCCCCCCCCCCCTCTTCAGACTCACCGAGGCCCCGCTGCTCCTGGCTCCGGGCCCTGGGACACTCGAGGGCAGGGCGCGGCCTCCTCCTCCTCTCCGACAATGGCGGGGAGGGCCCACCGGGAGGCAGAGGCAGAGAGCGAACGAGGAAGGCAGCCAGTCAAGCAGCGGAACCGCCGCGCGTGGCCACAGCCCCGGACCGGAAGGGGCGGAGCCACGCGGCCCAAGCAGAGGTGGGCGGGGAGACAGGGAGAGAGAGACAGACAGGCCAGGCCTGTGTTGCATCTACACTGTAGACCAGGCCTGAGCAAACTTGGGCCCTCCAGGTGTTTTGGACTTCAACTCCCACAAATACATGGGAGTTTTAGTTTTGCCAAGTTTTGCAAAGTCTTTTAACCTTCCCTCACCAAACTATAGGTAAAGGTAGTCCCCTGACATTAAGTCCAGTCATGTCTGACTCTGGGGGGTGGTGCTCATCTCCATTTCTAAGCCGAAGAGCCAGCGTTGTCCATAGACACCTCCAAGGTCATGTGGCCGGCATGACTGCATGGAGCACCGTTACCTTCCCGCCGGAGCAGTACCTATTGATCTACTCACATTTGCAAGTTTTCGAACTGCTAGGTTGGCAGAAGCTAGGGCTGACAGCGGAAGCTCACACCGCTCCCCGGAATCGAACCTGCGACCTTTCGATCAACAAGCTCAGCAGCTCAGTGCTTTAACTCACTGCGCCACCGGGGGCTCCTCCACTAAACTATAACTCCTATTATTTCCCATAGCACTGAGCTGTGGTAGTTAAAAGTGGTACCTTACTTAGGCGATCTGCATTGTCCGAGGAGGATTGTCTTCCAAGATTGGTGTACTGGCTGTGGGTACGTAGGTGACCGTGGAGCCCTATTCTTGATCTGCATGTTCTCCCGCAGTGGGCGCATCGGTTTCCAGGTGGAAGGCGGTCTTTGGGCCGGAACCGGGACCGCCTTCCAACCTGGAAACCAATGCCCTCACTGCGAGAGAACATGCAGATCAATAATAATAATAATAATAATAATAACTTTATTTATACCCCGCCACCATCTCCCCAAGGGACTCAGAGCGGCTTACATGAGACCAAGCCCAATAACACATCAAAACAGAAAATCAATAAACAAAACAATACAATGCAATACAAAGTAATATAAATCACATATAACAATAACACACAGTATTTAAATAGGGCTTCACAGTCACCTACGGACCCACCGCCAGTACACTGATCCTGGAAGACTATCCTACTTGGACAACAAGGGATCGCCTAAGTAAGTAAGGAAGGCGGTCCTGATTGAGGCTGGCTTGACGCGCCTTCTTCTTGGCACGTTTCTCTCTTTCACCCTCTATTCGTGCCTCTTCAAATTCTACAGCACTGCTGGTAACAGCTGACCTCCAGTCGGAGTGCTCAAGGGCCAGGGCGTCCCAGTTCTCAGTGTCTATGCCAGTTTTTAAGATTGGCTTTGAGCCCATCTTTAAATATCTTTTCCTGTCCTCCAACATTCAGTTTTTCTGTTCTTGAGTTTGGAGTACAGCAACTGCTTTGGGAGACGGACAGCGTGGCCGGTTCAGCGAAGTTGATGGCAGAGGACAATCGCTTCAATGCTGGTAGTCTTTGCTTAATCCATCACGCTGGCATTTGTCCACCTGTCTTCCCAAGAGATTTGCAGGATTTTCAGAGGCAGCGCTGATGGAATTGTTCTAGGAGTTGCATGTGACATCTGTAGATAGTTCACGTCTTGCAGGCGTATAGTAGCATTGGGAGGACAATAGTTTTATAAACAAGCACCTTGGTATCCCAGGGGGAAAAGTGGTACCAAACGGAATTCATTCAACAGTATGGATCACACGTGTCGCTTCTGGTGTGAGAGAATTGGCTGTCTTCAAGGACGTTGCCCAGGGGAAGCCCGGATGTTTTGATGTGTTACCATCCTTGTGGAAGGCTTCTCTCATGTCCCTGCATGAGGAGCTGGAGCTGATAGAGGGAGCTCATCCGCACTCTCCCCGGATTCGAACCTGTGATCTGTTGGTCTTCAGTCCTGCCGGCACAGGGGTTTAACCCATTGCGCCACTGGAGGCTCCAGAAGCAACTTGCAGTTTCTCAAGTTTCAGATTGGGACGAGAGACAGGGCCTTCTCAGTGGTGGGTCCTCGGCTCTGGAACTCTCTCCCCAGTTAGATTAGATAAGCACCCTCCCTCTTGGCCTTCAGAAAGAAAACAAAGACATGGTTGTGGGACCAAGCCTTTGGCCAGTAAAGTAATGCAGTGCAAGAAATAAATAGGGAATGTGTGCAATTGACAATTGAAATAGCCTCAGTTTATGATTTTGGATCATGTGATTTTAATGTTTATACTAGGATGTTTAAATGCTATGTCTTAATATTTCAATGTTGTTTATGTCTTTGTTTAATGGTCTTAATGATTTTAAGTAATACTTATATATTATTGTTTAGATATTTTGATTTGGTTTTTACATGTATGTCTTGGCATTGAATTTTGCCATTAGTATGTTGTAAATCACCTTGAGTCCCCTCAGGGGTGAGAAAAGCGGTATATAAATAGAGTAAATAAATAAAGAGGAGAAACATTTGAACAGCAGATCTGCTAAGAACAGCACATACAAACCAGTATTTTCTTGCCCGGTAGCTAAAGTGCGCTGCCTTTCTCTCAGGCTTTCTGTCCTCATATTGGCAGAGCTCCAGGGCAGCTTCTGACGTAAGGACAGCTTGACTAGAGTCAACAAACACTCAGTAGACGCCTTCTTGTTTTGATTTATGGTTCACAACTCTGTGCCGGACTCCATCCACATTGCTTGCTTTTACTGATGAAAGCAGCCAGACAGATTTTGGACTCCTCAGTGCCAAGTCCCACAAAACAACTGCCCTGAAGTAAAGAAAACATAGCATGTCATCACAGTTTTTAATTTGAAATATTTGCAACCATTCATATTTTCATTAAAACAAAAAAACAAAAAACCAAAGCAGCATGTAAAAAGTCAACATCTAATTAATCTCCAGATAAAATAAGCTGAAAACAGTTTCTGTAGCCAGCAACACAGTGGTACTGAAAATTGTGAAAAGGCCCAGGAGAATCAGAAGAAACATTTATGTTTGCTAGTAAAGGAATCTACCCTAGATTAGTGTTGGCACCTGACAGATTTCAATAGTTCTATGTTTAATTATGTTTTAGTGGTTATATCTTGTAAATTTTAAATTGTAAACTGTATTCTTTTAGCATTATTATCTGTTTTAAGTCTCCTTTGGGAGAGGAAAGCAGGATATAATAATAGGACTCCGACAAACCATCACAGTTCCTCACACGCGCACATTTACATATCTTTTAAGGGTCCAGAGCTGTATAAAGAAACACTAAATCCAGTGATTAGAGATACAGCAATCATTTTTGTTTCTTCCAATTCTTCTGGCTCCTTATATGTTACACTGGAACCCAGAGGCATTTGAAGGAAATCCATGGATGATGAAGCCATTTTGCCTAGACTTCTCTGCTTCATACAGATCTACCTGCTGTTTCCTGTTTCCACTGCTGTCTGCTTTTGCCTTTCCATCTGTTCTCACTGCCCATGCTTCTACCTTCTGGTGCATTTTGTGATTGGGGACCTTTCAGAGGGGAGGTGGAATGACACCTTGCTGGAACACTTCAAATCTGGTGCCAGACCTGACCAGAACCACTAAGGGCAGTTTCTGTTTGGTCTTATAACAGAAATGGGTTTGTTTTCACTCAAAACTGTGTTATTGTGTATGTTTAACTGAATGTATACTCATGTTGACAAATACTTAGTTTTTTGGTAATACTGGGCAAGACCAGATAAAAAGTGAGGGGGGCATCAAAAACTAGGTATTTCCTCACAAATTATACTTCCCTGACCCATATTATTAGAGCAAGTCCTGCAAGCCAAACCCAAAGAAAGTTAACAGTGAATCACCCTCTATGAGTCAGGAAAAAAAGTTGTGCATACACACCCTTGTCTAGTGGCAGAGCCTGCTGACTATACAATGTGTAAACATGTAAATCAGAATTCACAATGGTGGAGTGACTTTTTTGCTTAGATGAAACCCAGATCCAGAGACAGAATAGACTCTTTGAGGGGTACAGGAATTTCCCACCGGACATGCTCTGGCTTGTGGACTGAGCTATGAATTAAAAACAAAGCAAATAGCATACTTCACTGCTCATCTGGCATTTATAACCCCAGGCACTACTACTGCTTCCAGTGAGTTGTTGCTTGCTGAAGGTGGGGTAGAGGAATAAGTATTTTTTCAGTTATACTTACTTATATAGGTCTGTCAAATCATCTATGTACCAAAACTTTTTTTCAGTTTATTTTATGGAACACTTGAAGAATTACAGCACATTAGTTGTTCCTGTCTCGGCCCCATTATACCACCATCATCCAAACAGACCTTTAATGCTTCCCAGTAAATACAATTACTTCTTACTATGATATTAATATGGATGAGAGCAGATTGTACAAAGAGAAGCCTCAAAAAGGTGACCATCAACTCTATTCATGTCTTCTAGCTTCTAAAGAAATAGAACCTGACAGCTGGAATTTGTCTACTGACCTGTCATGCTATATAGGATCTGACCTCTCACTTCACCTCACGTTCCACTGAACAGCTGCTTTCCTTTTTAAAAAAAATAATCATCACCACCTAGAGACAATGCCATTAATGATCACTTTAGCATTTTTCACATGACTGGTATATTACCATTTTTATATTCTTTATTTTGTTTAGTACCATAATCTGAAAAACTATATCACCTCAATGGACATACCCTCAAGCTTTAGACTAGCAGGGGGAAAACAAGATATTGTTGGGCATCCTTTGCCATTGGTTTTACAATATAGGACTAACTGGAGTTACAATACAACAGTGGCTCCCAACCTTCTAGTCGGTGGACCACCAGTTGTCCACAAGAACAATAATATGGTCCACAGCCTCACCATTACTACAGTTTCCTTGAAACCACGCAGCAACGAGGCCGATGAGTCTCGTGAAACCCTCTTATAGTGCCAAGGCAACGAGGATGTCAGGAGGGGAGAGGCTGATTACCAACAAAAGATTACTACTACCACATCAGCTCTAGATTATTAAAAATGTTTTTCTGTGGACGAGCAGATGGTGACTACTGCATGGCATATGTTCTTTATCAGAAACTAGAGCTGATATGGTCTATCCAATGCAATTTTTTGAATCAGCACCCCAAATAACCAAACCAAATCTAAAGTTGACCAAAAACTAATTCATAAACCTTTTGGTACTAATGTTGGAGAGTGGTCCCTCTCCAACATTAGTCAAAGTGGTCATTGTTCAAGTGGCCCTTGTCAGAAAAAGGTTGGGAACCACTGCAACACAAAAACATTCTGAGAGCACAGTTGTAGTCAAGAAAGTCGTGCACAGGAAGTTACAATTGTTATATTTTATAAACATCATTCTTTTGCACACTCAACACATTTATTATGCTTACGCCTGCTCTTCAGCTTAGAAATGGCGATGAGCACCACACCCAAGAGTCGGACACAACTAGAAATAATGTCAGGGGAAACTTTACCTTTACTATAATGTCTTTAATATGCTTTTACTGGAAAAGAAAAATGTAAACATGACAACATAATTACAAGAACAGATCAGCTTCTAATACAGAGATAAAAAGATGTAGAATAAAACTTTTTCAGATCAACATTAATCCAAAAGGAATTAAGATGAGCAAGAATGGCTCATTGATGACCTTTCATTACGTACTACACATTATTCTAACAAAATTCTGCATTGTAAAAATGCAGTATCTTTCCATCTCGCCCTTTATGCTAAGCCTGAGATAGTAGCTGAAATATTTTCAAATGCTCTCATCGCTCTACAATTTGTACAGGGAGAACAAATGACCAGTATACTAAATTAACACATCAGTGAAAGATGTCAAAAAAACAAGCTTTTAGAAATAACAAGGGAGTTAGAAATAAAGGGTTTTTTTTATTTTATAGAGACCCAAAAATAACATTGGATAATTAAAAAGACAGGTTACAACAAAATACACAAGCAATAATACCAGCACAAATAAGAAAAAAAATCTAAAGGTGAGAAAGTGTGTTTCGGGCCATATTTATTGGATATTTTTATTTCTATAAACATACTGGAGTTGGTCCAACTTTTTTATTTCTATAAAAACAGGGGGAAAGTAGGTTTTCATTTTTGATACCATATAGAAATGATCAGATATTCAACACAAAATCTTGGATCTTTTCTTTTAAAACTTATTTACATAATTGCAGCTGTTTAATGCCCCCTGGTGATATGGAAAGCTTGCTAGGAATAGAAAAACTGAGAAAGCTTGGAAGCACTCATTTTTTCCATTAATGAAGCAATTTCCTTTCTGTATTTCCTCGTATTTTCACGGCTAATGATTTACATCCAGTGTTTTGTCATTGCTTGGGGTAATTCCACCTGCTGTATTATTCCCTCTGGGCATCAAATTCATCTAGTTTATTGTTTACAAACTGAAATTGAATACAGTGCTACTGCCACTTAGAATTCAGTTTTAATGGTGTGGTTGATTTCCCCTATTGAATTCTCATATTCAACAATTTTATATTAAACTGACATTCAAAAGCCTATTTGGGAAGGATTGCAAAAATTCTAGAGCAAAAATATATCAGATTATATACAGCAAAGCACGTTTGACACCAAAATGTACATGACCCGCATCCAATCTATGATGTAAGCCCATACTTTTCTCATTCTTTGTCTTTCAGTTGTATTTAGACAACCTTTTTTTTCCCCTATGATGAGTCAGCAATAAAATCTTGTTTGGTTTCACAGTGAGCCTTGAACAAAGAAGAAATGTCCATGTTTGTATAAAGATGAAAGGATAAGACTGGAACATAATATTGTAGTGATAAGAGTCCCGGCGCATACCAATGTAAAGTGATGATTGAATCCAACTGGTATCTGCAGTTTCAACTTCTTAACCTTCAATAAAAGAGTTAAAGTTAAAAGCCAAATAATATTCCTTTATTCAAAACTTATTTGTCAGAAAAGTGGCAAATCAATATCTTAAATATGTGTTGGGCATTATATAATTAAACACTTTGACTTAACAGGGTTTTTTTTAGCACATACCATTTTATAAAAGGTTTCCCCCGATGTTAAGTCTAGTCATGTCCAGACTCTGGGGGGTGGTGCTCATCTCCATTTCTAAGCCAAAAAACTAGTGTTGTCCATAGACACCTCCAAGGTCATGTGGCCAGCATGACTGCATAGAGCACCACTGCCTTCCCACCAAAGCAGTACCTATTGATCTACTCACATTTGCATATTTTCAAACTGTTAGGTTGGCAGAAGACGGGGCTAACAGTGGGAGCTCACCCTGCTCCCTGGATTTGAACCATCAACCTTTCGGTCAGCAAGTTCAGCAGTTTAACCTGTTGCACCACCGGGGCTCCTATACTATTTTATAAGACCCTTTATACCATTCTGTATGTGTCTACTAATTGTCTTTTTATCTTGGAAACAGTCCTACCAATGGTTAGGAACCTAAAATCCCACTAGAACCGATGGGATTTAAACATTTTAACTATGTATGCAGGGTTGTAGGCTTGATTTAATTGGTATTGCTACTAGAACAACATAGATATTTTAAATTCAAGAAAAGTAAGAAAAGAAAGGAATGTAAACATACATTTTTGAGCTTCAAACTATCCCAGCGGCACATATTAATACTCTGTTGGGAACAGGGGGCTTCTATTTCAGTTTCTTGCAAGCAATCCACTGAGAGAAAAGCTACAAAGAGAAAAATAAATAAATTATGAAATAAAATGCGCATAAAGGAAACAGATTATTAATATTTTTATGAATACTTTCCACATCTCTGAATACATTTTTGCAATTTCCTTATTTTCTCTATTAAAAGTTTTATGATATGATGACACCCCTCCCACACTCATATACTCCTTTTATTCCTCTTCCAACCACTCTCTTGTCATGTCCCCCAAAATAGAAAGTTAATGTTGCTCACTTTTCTGGCAACTGATCAATATTTCTGGACTCTGCAGTACAGTAAAGATTCTTCCATCATCCTTTGTTGGCCGGTGATATCGGCAATGCAAAGGTAATAATGCTTTAAAACAGAATTGGCATTCAGAATCAGGTTTCATGTAAACAAGGACAGTAATATCTGTGGCCAAGTATTCAGGAACTTCCAAATCTATATTATCTGAAATTACTAAAGCCTGCAGAAAAATAGAACAGAGAAATAGTTGATAAGACAGTATCATTTCAGAATCACTGTCCCCTTCTACACAGCCAAATAAAATTTAGATTATCTGCTCTGAACTGGGTTATATGGCAGTGTAGATTCATATAATCCAGTCCAAGCAGATGACGTAGATACTGGATTATATGGCAGTGTAGAAGGGGCCCCAGAGATCTACCAAGACACCAAAATTTATATTTTTCCCATTTGTAATGTACTGTACAGGATTGCTCTTTTACAGACAAGGTGATAAGCTATATAAATATTATTTGCTTATCAAGAAAAACAATTCTTATATGCTATCATAAATCAAATTTTGTGAATATACCTCATGGCCAAGTGTTTTATATTCTGTCATTGGTTAATATTCCATAAGTACACAAATCAGCTCAAAGTCATACCTCAGTGAGATTGTACTTTTGCAAAGATATCAGTTCATAGGGGTCCACATATAATCCTCTGGGAAGATGTACTTTAGTTGCCACTGTGCAGTTTCTTATTCCTTCATCAAATATACCAAGATTTATCTTAATCAAGAGATCTCTAAAATTTAAAATAAGAAAACAGACAAAAAACACTGTCAAATGATACAAATAATCTCAAAAGAATATCAAAGAATCTTGTGGTACCATTTAGTCTGTCATACTAATTCACTTCTTAATAACTACATCAAACATATTGCCACAGGGAGACAGCTGTTTTAAGGATCTATATGCCTTATAAATAGGCAAGTAGCAGATTGTGATAAACCTACCTATGAAAGCCGTCTTTCAAAAGTTGTTGCATAACATCTGGACATTTGTTCTGTGCATCTATTAAAAACAGAAATATTTTGTGGTTTTAGCAGTACTAACATATTTGCTAGTAGTACAAAGAAGCCACATCAACACATTTAAAATTTGAATCGTTTGTCTTTAAAAATTGTACTAGAATGACTTTTAAAAGTGAGGTGGAATGGGTTAACAGATCATATAAAGCAGGAGTAGCCAAAGGACACTTGTGAAGAACAACCCCATCCATGTCCATCATTTTAAAACTGAAAAAAGTCCTTAACAAAGTAAACAGTTTTATTGTTGGGGGGGGCATTCTGTGTAAGGGGGTCCAGTTTTCATCCAAAACTAGTGATTTTGGTTTACTTTCAAAAAGATCCTGTGCTTAAATATTGTTAGCACCCACCAAATAAAAAAAGGCAGCATTGCTCTGGCATGACCTATAGAGGGCACACTGGACACATTTCAGCAAATATTAATGTTAATAAAATGGGGCAATGGTTGGAAGAGCAATAATCCAGGGGTAGAAGGATCCTTGTCTATTCCTAGATCTTAGAAATTTGCAATCCCAGTATAATGAGGACTATCTGGTGAAGTCACAGTCAGATATGGCAACCGTGCAGCTCTCCTGATGTGGCTGAACTATACATCCTAGATTATTTACCATTGGCAAATAATGGCCAAGGTTGCCCAGAATTGTGGGCCCTTCCATATAGCCCAGACTATCAAGGCAGAAAATACCACAATATCTGCTTTGAACTGGATTATCTGAGTCCACACGGCCATATATTCCAGTTCAAGACGGAAAATGTGGGATTTTATTATTATATATCTGTGGAATGTCCAGGGTGGGAGAAAGAACTCTTGTCTGTTTGAGGCAAGTGTGAACATTGCAATTGGCCAGTTGATTAGCATGGAATAGCCTTGCAACTTCAAAGCCTGGCTGCTTCCTGCCTGGGAATTGCAACATTCACACTTCCCTCAAAGAGAAAAAAGTTCTTTCTCCCACCCTGAACATTCCACAGATATATAGACCCCACTTGTCTAACAGTTTCTAACAGACCTCACAACCTCTGAGGATACCTTCCATAGATGTGGGTGAAATGTCAGGAGAGAATGCTTCTGGAACATGGCCTTACAGCCCGGAAAACTCACAGGAACCCAGTGATTCCAGTCATGAATGCCTTCGACAACACATATTTTAAGTCAGATAATGAAGGGTATGTGTGCCAAGTTTGGTCCAGATCCACCAAGCCATGTATGAGCCTTTGTAGTACAAACAAACATACCCCAGGAAAACACACTGACTGAATCCTGAATGTGCTAGAATATAATCAACTGCAATAGCACAAGTATTTTAATTCAGAATGTAATAAAATATCCATAAAGGCCAGTTAAGCAATAATCGGTACATCATTCATTCACCCAGGGCCCTTCCACACAGCCATATAACCCAGAATATCAAGGCAGAAAATCCCTCAATATCTGTTTTGAACTGGGTTTTCTGAATCCATATTGCTACATATTCCAGTTCAAAGCAGATAGTGTGGGATTTTATTGAGTTGTGTGGAAAGGGCCCCAGAATATCAAAGCAGAAAATCCCACAATATCTGCCTTGAATTGGGTTATCTGAGTCCACACTGCCACATATTCCAGTTCAAAGTAGATAATGTGGGATTTTATTGAGCTGTGTGGAAGGGGCCCCATAATATCAAGGCAGAAAATCCCCCAATATCTGCTTTGAACTGGGTTATCTGAGTCCACACTGCCACATATTCAAGCAAATAATGTTCACATGTTCAAGCAAATAAGAAGGGGCCCCAGTGCAGTGGCTGGCATGTGGCTTTATGCAGTTTACTCACCAACTAGTTTCAGGGGGAGGTGGAGCTCAACTTACATGTGTATTGTAATATGCACAGAAAAGAAATGATCCATAATGGAAGGATATCCATTTGAAGGTGCAAGGACTTGTTCTACGGAGACATTTCAGCATAAAACTGCAAGAAAAAGAAATCCCATTATGATATATTCGAATCCGTTTAGAATGCTTTGACAAAACTGTGTGCTGGGAACAGCAGGAAAGATCAACTCGATCTGACAGAACTCCATAGATTAAAATTCCAAAAACAGTGAAGATATTTTTTAAAATTACTGTTTTTAGTCTGCAACAGGCCTGGTCAAACTTGGGCCCTCCAGGCATTTTGGACTTCAACTCCCACAATTCCTAACAGCCTGAGCAAACTTGGGCCCTCCGGGTGTTTTGGACTTCAACTCCCACAATTCCTAACAGCCTGAGCAAACTTGGGCCCTCCGGGTGTTTTGGACTTCAACTCCCACCATTCCTAACAGCCTGGGCAAACTTGGGCCCTCCAGGTGTTTTGGACTTCAACTCCCACAATTCCTAACAGCCTGGGCAAACTTGGGCCCTCCAGGTGTTTTGGACTTCAACTCCCACCATTCCTAACAGCCTGGGCAAACTTGGGCCCTCCAGGTGTATTGGACTTCAACTCCCACAATTCCTAACAGCCTGAGCAAACTTGGGCCCTCCAGGTGTTTTGGACTTCAACTCCCACAATTCCTAACAGCCTGAGCTAACTTGGGACCTCCGGGTGTTTTAGACTTCAACTCCCACAATTCCTAACAGCCTGAGCAAACTTGGGCCCTCCGGGTGTTTTGGACTTCAACTCCCACCATTCCTAACAGCCTGGGCAAACTTGGGCCCTCCAGGTGTTTTGGACTTCAACTCCCACCATTCCTAACAGCCTGGGCAAACTTGGGCCCTCCAGGTGTTTTGGACTTCAACTCCCACCATTCCTAACAGCCTGGGCAAACTTGGGCCCTCCAGGTGTTTTGGACTTCAACTCCCACCATTCCTAACAGCCTGAGCAAACTTGGGCCCTCCAGGTGTTTTGGACTTCAACTCCCACCATTCCTAACAGCCTGGGCAAACTTGGGCCCTCCAGGTGTTTTGGACTTCAACTCCCACCATTCCTAACAGCCTGGGCAAACTTGGGCCCTCCAGGTGTTTTGGACTTCAACTCCCACCATTCCTAACAGCCTGGGCAAACTTGGGCCCTCCAGGTGTTTTGGACTTCAACTCCCACCATTCCTAACAGCCTGGGCAAACTTGGGCCCTCCAGGTGTTTTGGACTTCAACTCCCACCATTCCTAACAGCCTGGGCAAACTTGGGCCCTCCAGGTGTTTTGGACTTCAACTCCCACCATTCCTAACAGCCTGGGCAAACTTGGGCCCTCCAGGTGTTTTGGACTTCAACTCCCACCATTCCTAACAGCCTGGGCAAACTTGGGCCCTCCAGGTGTTTTGGACTTCAACTCCCACAATTCCTAACAGCCTGGGCAAACTTGGACCCTCCAGGTGTTTTGGACTTCAACTCCCACCATTCCTAACAGCCTGGGCAAACTTGGGCCCTCCGGGTGTTTTGGACTTCAACTCCCACCATTCCTAACAGCCTGGGCAAACTTGGGCCCTCCAGGTGTTTTGGACTTCAACTCCCACCATTCCTAACAGCCTGGGCAAACTTGGGCCCTCCAGGTGTTTTGGACTTCAACTCCCACCATTCCTAACAGCCTGAGCAAACTTGGGCCCTCCAGGTGTTTTGGACTTCAACTCCCACCATTCCTAACAGCCTGAGCAAACTTGGGCCCTCCAGGTGTTTTGGACTTCAACTCCCACCATTCCTAACAGCCTGGGCAAACTTGGGCCCTCCAGGTGTTTTGGACTTCAACTCCCACCATTCCTAACAGCCTGGGCAAACTTGGGCCCTCCAGGTGTTTTGGACTTCAACTCCCACCATTCCTAACAGCCTGGGCAAACTTGGGCCCTCCGGGTGTTTTGGACTTCAACTCCCACCATTCCTAACAGCCTGGGCAAACTTGGGCCCTCCGGGTGTTTTGGACTTCAACTCCCACCATTCCTAACAGCCTGGGCAAACTTGGGCCCTCCGGGTGTTTTGGACTTCAACTCCCACCATTCCTAACAGCCTGGGCAAACTTGGGCCCTCCAGGTGTTTTGGACTTCAACTCCCACCATTCCTAACAGCCTGGGCAAACTTGGGCCCTCCAGGTGTTTTGGACTTCAACTCCCACCATTCCTAACAGCCTGGGCAAACTTGGGCCCTCCAGGTGTTTTGGACTTCAACTCCCACCATTCCTAACAGCCTGGGCAAACTTGGGCCCTCCAGGTGTTTTGGACTTCAATTCCCACCATTCCTAACAGCCTGAGCAAACTTGGGCCCTCCAGGTGTTTTGGACTTCAACTCCCACCATTCCTAACAGCCTGAGCAAACTTGGGCCCTCCAGGTGTTTTGGACTTCAACTCCCACCATTCCTAACAGCCTGGGCAAACTTGGGCCCTCCAGGTGTTTTGGACTTCAACTCCCACCATTCCTAACAGCCTGGGCAAACTTGGGCCCTCCAGGTGTTTTGGACTTCAACTCCCACCATTCCTAACAGCCTGGGCAAACTTGGACCCTCCAGGTGTTTTGGACTTCAACTCCCACCATTCCTAACAGCCTGGGCAAACTTGGGCCCTCCAGGTGTTTTGGACTTCAACTCCCACCATTCCTAACAGCCTGGGCAAACTTGGGCCCTCCAGGTGTTTTGGACTTCAACTCCCACCATTCCTAACAGCCTGGGCAAACTTGGGCCCTCCAGGTGTTTTGGACTTCAACTCCCACCATTCTAACAGCCTGGGCAAACTTGGGCCCTCCAGGTGTTTTGGACTTCAACTCCCACCATTCCTAACAGCCTGGGCAAACTTGGACCCTCCAGGTGTTTTGGACTTCAACTCCCACCATTCCTAACAGCCTGGGCAAACTTGGGCCCTCCAGGTGTTTTGGACTTCAACTCCCACCATTCCTAACAGCCTACCGGGTGCTAGGAATGGTGGGAGTTGAAGTCCAAAACACCTGGAGGGCCCAAGTTTGCCCAGGCTTGGTCTATAAACATTTTCTAATTTGAAACTGCACATGCCTTTAGTACAATTCCCATGATTCTATGAGTGCATCTACACTGTAAAATTAATGCACTTTGATACCACTTTTAACTGCGATAGCTCAATCCTATGGAATCTTGGGGGTTGTCGTTTTTACTAGATCTTTAACCTTTGCCACAGCTGACTAGAAATCCCAGGATTCCATAGTATTGAGCCATGGCAGATAAAACGATATCTAAATGCATCAATTTTACAACACAGATGCCTCCTTAGTTGGAAAACATTTAGGCAGATCTTATATTGCCACCCCTTCTCCTGACTATTCCTTCTTTCCTTCGTTCATCTTTGCTCTCTCGTCCCTTCCCACCCTTCCTCCCTCATTCAAGGCTTACGTTTCCTGGTCACCTGATGCTTAGCCTCACGCTGACCCAGGAAGCGAACCGGGGAATAGAGGCGCTCCTTTGTTTTGCTTCCGGTTCATGGCATTTCTCCCTACAGCTGTTCCTTTCAGAGCGTTGCCTCTCCTGTTTTCCTATTGCCATTCTCTCTGGCTCCTAAAAGGCTGGAATAAGGAAGCCCCTTGTGGTGACTTCTAAAATGTTGCTGCCTTCAGTCAGCTGAAATAATTATAATTGTTCAAATTGCTCCTTAGGCACAAAATAAGTGGAATGTCTTCGGCCTGAGCTGACAAGCAGGAGCTGAGATGGCCTACCTGGCTAAGAAATGTGGCCTCCAGTTACAGCCACCTTCGATTATTCTCATCTATGAGGATCAGCTCAAGAATAACATCCGCAAGCGCATCATGCCTGTTCGGAATTTCTCCAGGTTTTCAGGTAAAACATGCTCATTTTGCTATTCATTGTCCAAAGGCTTTAGATCAGGCATGGGCAAACCGGGGCCCTCCACCTAAACATTAAGAAGAACTTCCTGATGGTGACATCTGAGCAACATTGGAATATGCTGCCTCAGGGTGTAGTGGAACCTCCTTCTTTGAAAGTTTTTAAGCGTAGACTAGATGGTTATCTGTTGGGAGTGCCTTGATTGTGTATTCATGTATGTCAGGAGGTTGGACTGGATGATGCTTGTGGACTCTTCCAACTGTATGATTCTTACAACAAAGGAATGAAATCCTCATTGTCTTCCTATACTGTTAGATTTGCTTTAAAAATTCCTTTTCAATGTATAATTTCCAAATAGTGTTTAAATATTTGATTTTTTTTTTTTTTGTTATCTGGTTTATTTTTCATTTTTTATGTAGATTGCAGCAGGGCAGCAGAACAGCTAAAGAATAACCCTCGACACAAAGCTTATTTGAATGGAGTTTCACTGGAACAGCTACAAAAGTTACACCGTTTATTGAGATGTCACTTGGAGGGACAAAGTTTAACTCAGAGTTTGGAACAAATTAAGCGAGAAGAAACAATTGATCCAGAAGAAGACCTGAACAAACTGGATGACAAGGAGCTAGCCAAGAAGAAAAAAATCATGGATGAGTTGTTTGAAAAGAACAGGAAAAAGAAAGATGATCCCGATTTCATCTATGATGTTGAGGTAGCATTCCCACAGGATGAAGAGCTTGAAGCCTGTGAGTGGGATACAAAGTCAGATGAGGAGTTTTGACCCAGACATATGCTCTGGCCTCATGGTGTGTACAGTGTAGTCACCCTGGGAATGAAAAAAAAAAAAAGCAAAATAACAGGCCCGTGTATTTTAGCAACAAAACTTGATTTTGAAAGTCACTGTTTTATCTTGCCAAATTAGATCAAAGTTTATTTTTTATATCTTTAGCATATAAAAATGTTGTTAACTTTGTTTTTTGAAACATGACTAAACTCTATTTTTATTTACAACCTGTAGGTGAGTTCTTTCCTTCAACACGTATAGTATATAAAATCAAAATTCCAAGTTTTAAAAATCCCTACAACTGACATTCTATTAGTGATGTGTTAGCCATTCTATACAAATTACCGACATTTGCAATAGCACAACAAATATATTTTGCTGATAGTGGTAGATGCAGAGATGTACATTCAGTAACATTGTACATTGTGGTTATGAGCTGAGCATTGTACAGCAGTACCCACTCATTGGCATATGTTTTGAATGTTGCTATTGTCCCAGCTTTCTCTCAGAATTCTACCAATCATTTGGGATATTTTCTACATGTTTGCAGAGTACTGGCCTTTACACTAATTGTACCTCTTCATTTTGCCAGTCCCAGACAATTTTCTGTGTTACTCAACTATGAAAAAATAGACTGCCTGCTTCTACATAATGTCTTTTCATGTGGGTTGCAGCAGCTATTCACCTGGCTTATGAAATGGCAGGCAAACAGCCCGCCCCAACAAGAAGTCACTCAACTGAGAGTTGTTGCAGAATTGACTGCTTTTATGAATGGGCTTCCACTCCATGATATCAGTAGAGCTACTACATGATCTGGACCACTCACTTCATATCACATTATAGACTACACTTAAAGTCCCAAATGAGTCTGCTTTTGGGAGGGTGGTTCTTTTTTCCTATCTGGCATGACCCTCCTTCTCCTATGGTTAGGAGCTTGCTAGTCTTCTATTTATGTGAATTACAGAAACCACGAAGAAGGAGGAGAGAATGCTTACCTTCAACTGTAATTCTGCAAGTGGTCATCTGTGAACAAGTGGAATCTTGCCTGTCCTACCTTTTACTTAGATCTTTGTATGCTAGTTTAGCTTCCATGTAATTGAGAGTTGGAAGTGTGCTGTGTGGTGTGAATGGAGAGTGGGGCCTATTACCAAAAACTAGCAGGTTCCAAATGCTCTCTGCAGGTGCCCAATTTTGTGTGAGTTCACAACTGACAATTCAGGAACTACAGGGATAGGTAAGTAACCTGTCCATAGGTGTTAGTTGTTCACTGTATATAAAAAGAGCCTTGCTATAGTTATTATTTGTTTCAGTTCCCAGCAGAAATCTTCCTTCTGTTCCATGAACTCATTTTTCACATATGCCGTCTGTAAGCTGATTACTCCATAGTGTTTGTTCCACTCAGGCACACATGCATAACATTTTCGGTCAAGACTGCATTTTTGCACTCCCACACTTTTCTGCAGAACATGGTGGTCTTTATTATGGTAGAGAGCCTAACTAGCACTATATGAATCTACACTGCCAAATAATCCAGTTCAATGTAGTTCAGTGTAGACAGGGCCACAGAATTCTTAGCCCTGATAAATTTCTTGGAGGCAAAGGGACAGCTCTCCTATGCCACTTAAAGATATAAGTTCAAAAGACACACACAGGCACTGATTTTATCGTTCCATTATTAAATATGTCCTTCCAAATATGCAATAATTTATTATTTATTTATTTATTTACTATATTTATACCCTACCTTTCTCCCCGAGGGGATTCAAGGCAGCTAACAATCACACAATTTAAAACAAGATGAATATAAAAAAATAGCATTGTGTATCTGGTTCAAAGTACAATTAAAACATAATACATGCAATTAAAATACATTTTAAAACATATAATCCCCCTCCCCCAAAAAATCCACCCACAACCTCACCAGCATCATGCCCCTCATCCTTTTCCTAATACCTGCTTGCAGAGATCTGCTTGCGGAAGGCCAGCAGGGATGGGGCCATCCTGGGTTCACAGAAAACTTCCACAATCTGGGATCAGCTACCGAAAAGGTTCTCTCCTGTGTTCACAGGAAACTTGCTTGAGTGGGTGGTGGGTCAGTGAGAAGGCCCTCCCCAGTCGATTGTAGATATCTACCAGGTTAATAGAGAGATGGTCCTTCAGATAACCTGGGCCACAACCCATATTGGGCTTTGTAGGTCAAAACCAGCACTTTGAATTGTGCCCAGAAACATGTTGGCAGCCACAGAGGAGCCATGCTCTCTCCTGTGGACAGCCTCAGTTAGCAGTCTGGCTGCCGCTCTTTGAACCAGCTGAAGTTGGTTCAAATATTGCATGGATATTGAAAATATAATTTTTTTCATATTTTTATTACTTTATCATAATTATTACATTTATTATACATTTGTTTATAGCAGTTACATATTATTCAACACCCTCTTTAACATATAATCTTTTTCTTCTGCTTAAGCATTCCCCCCTTTTTCCCCCCACCACTGTGCTCCCCTCCCCCCCATTTCAAGCCACAACTTTTACATATCATCTGTCCAAAATCTCATTTCTTCTTGTGGCGGTAACCTTCCTTCTTTGTTTTTTAAACCATTTACAACAAATTTACCCCATACAACATCAAAATCACTTTGTTTCCATATACCTTTTTTAACTTTTAATATACATGTCAACTTATCATTTATTGCCAATTTCCATGCTTCCTTGTACCACTCCTCTATTTGTATATTTATTTCTTTTTCCCAATTCCTTGCTATAAGCAGTCTTGCTATTGTTAATAAGTTTGTTATCACTTCTTTATCCTCCTTTTTCAATTGCTTGTTATTATATAATGATAATAAGGCTATACTAGGACTTTTCTCAATTTTCATATTCATTATATCTTCTATTTCTCTAAATACTTTCTCCCAAAAATTATTTACATATTTACATTGCCACCACATATGTATATATGTTCCTGGTTCTTGACACCCTCTCCAACAATTTTTTGAATTATTTTTATTTATATATGCTATTCTTATTGGTGTCAGATACCACTTCCATATTAGCTTATAGTAATTTTCTTTAACCCGTATTGATAAGTTTTTAAAATGTCTTTGTCCCCATAATTGTTGCCACTCTGTTGATATTGAAAATATAATTTAAGGACATATCTAATATTTGGTCTCCAGAGGGCAATGTTGTAAAAGTTGCAAAATGTTATACAAATCTTGATACTTTGTGGAAAGCTTACATTATTGAAATACATACAGAGCAGATTGTGAATAATATATCAAACCATCCTTGTAAATGACATTTTCTGGAGATCTAAATAAACATGAAAAGTAGATAAACTCTAATGATTTCCCTTATTTGACAAATTTGTCATGAGCCTTCAATTTCTAAGCTATGCTGACTAAGACAATCCTATCATCAGGCATTCTTGACAAGATTTTTTCAGTGGGGGGTTTGCCACTGCTTTCATTTGAGACTGAAAAAGCATGATTTGGCCATAGTGATGCACACCTTGGTAACATCCCATTTGGATTATTGTAATGTGCTGTATGTGGAGCTGCCTTTGAAATTTCAGTTAGTCCAAAGAGTGGCAGCCAGGTATTAACTAAGGCTGGCGACAGCGCACAACTCCCCTGTTGCAATAGCTCTATTGTCTGTCGGTTCATTTCTGGAAACATTTCAAAGTGCTGGCTTTGATTTATAAATCCCTTTAGAGCTAGGCTACAGGTTATTTGAAGTACTGTATCTATCTTTTTGAATCACTACAATCACCTGGAGAGGACCTCTCTCTCTGTCCTATTACTCAAGCATTTTTGGTGGGAACAAGGGAAAGGGAATTTTTGGTGGCTGTTCCCAGATACTGCAACATCCTCCCTGGAGAGAGTTTATATACTGATGCAGGTTGAACTTTTCAAGGTAGTGTGATTGAGATTTTACAGTGGGGATAAAAATTTGAATATATTTCAATATTTTTAATGTTAATAGATTTAATATAAGTTGTTTAATTGTTTTTTATTTATGTTTATATATTTGCACTGTCTTATATGTATTGTTAGTGTCATAAGTCCCAACATTGCAAGAAAGGTAGGATAAAAGTGAAGTAAATAATAATAAATAATAAAGGTCACCCAGTGGGTTTTTGTGGTTGAATGAGATTCAAGGCCAGGTCTCCCAAATTCCAATACTCCGATCAGCTGGCACACTGACTGGTTGACAACTGATTTTGTTGTAATAAGGCATAGACTTAATCTGTGATAGAAAATTACTTCATGAAAGTTTCTCACTATATTCTACTCCATTATCAACACATACATAAACATGAAATGTGAGGCTTTTGAAAAAAAGTTAACCTCAAAATTCAATTTTACTATTGAAAACAATACATCTAAAATCAGTACCTTTACTCCTATATTGTGATACTGTTGTTTCAACTTTTAAAATATGTGTAGCCCATTCTTCATATATTAAAGATATTTGTATTCAAATCGCCTGTCAACTTGTGACAACTCAATCAATTTCATAGTATTTTCTTAGGGAAGGAATACTCAGAAGTGTTTTACCATTGTGTTCCACACCCAACTTCAAACAGCCCACAGTCCCTTTCAGAGTATCTGGGCACTCTGCACATTTACCCAGAAAGAACTTAATCTGCCTGCTGATTAATTTACCCTGAAATAACTTGCAAAAGATTGTCTTTGTCAGCTTCCTTTAGTAAGGTCTTCCCATATCTGCTCTATCACATATTAATATCTTGTTTTCTGAGAACAAATTTAGCAACTGTGTTTTCTTTATAAGGAATGTGTTCTTTTGTGGTCAGTTGCTATTGAGTATCAATAATGTACTTCCATATTGTTATATTTGTGTGCACACATATCTTTCCACCTCCTGAAACACTTGCAATCCACGTAGCAGAGGGATAACATAGCAGAGAGCGGTCAACCCTCCTGTTTAAGAAGCTGCACTGGCTGCCATTTATTTTCCAGGCCCAATTCAAGGTGCAGGTTTTGACCTACAAAGCCCTGAACGGTTTGGGACCCGCCTACCTGTGTGACCGCATCTCCATTTACAAACCCACGCAACTTCTTCGATCTTCCGGAGAGGCCCTTCTCTCGCTCCCGCCTGCATCGCAAGCACGACTTGTGGGGATGTAGTGGCCCCCCGGCTCTGGAACTCACTCCCTGGAGAGATCAGACAAGCCCCCTCGCTGGCAATTTTCAGGAAGAAGCTG